CCCGGACCGGTCCGGGCGGTTCGGGTTCCAGGTCGCGAGGTGAGGTGGGGGGGGGGTGCATTTGTGGTTGGGGGTGGGCGGAGGCAGGGCCAAGGACAGTCCCTGTGAAGTCCCAGCATAAGTCCAGCTTGTCTCCACCAGCAAAGCAGTGGCCATCCCGGCCCTCCTAGCAAGTTAGACTCAGGGAGTCCTCAGTGACCCCGAGTCCACGGGCACAGGGAGGGGACGCAGGGTGGGTTTCCTAGGGCGTCTGTGGGCCCGTGCTGTCGTTGCTGCAGGGAAGACAGGCCCGGCTGAGCGGCTGACAGCCCGCAAAGTGCCTGTTCTTTGATCAGAGGGCTCGTGGGCCTGTTGGGCTCCCCGGCCAGGCCTCATCAAGACCCCACCGGGCCTGCTGGACACCAGCTGATCAAAGACCGATCAGTCAGCTCGTCCCCTCGCCGAGGCCAGATGGTCGGGCCCAGGAACAAAGCCGGCTCAGTCTGACATGGCCCAGCAGCAGAAGGCATCACGCCAAGTCCCACGGGGCCCCGCCAGCGTTTCCTGGACTTCAGAGCAGCCCTGGGAGAGCAGGTCTTCCGGAACTTTCTTTTCAGACCAGCACCGCGCGGGACGCAGTCGTCGGCCTCGGTCTCACTGAGGCCAGAGCCGACCACCGCGGGCTTAGGCTTCAGGAAGGAGGGTCTGCAGAGAGCATGCGCGTGTGTGGGTCACGAGCGGAGAGGTGCGTGGTGCACGTGTATGTCGCACACACGTGTGACTGCATGTGTGAGGGCGTGCACGCACGTTTGAGAGAGAACCTCTGTGTGGGCCTGTGTACGTGGGCAGATGGGTGCGCACGCACGTGAGTGCACGTGGGTGGTGTGCGTGCGTGTCCATGCCTGTGCATGCTGTCTGCATGTGCGTGTGTGTGCGCACCCCAAGGTGCAGCTGGACGAGCAGCTGTGACCCACACTTCACGAGAAGGTGGGAACAAGGACCCCTGTGTGCTGGCTGGATCTGCGGATGCAGAACAGAACCGACCCAGCCCCGGGCGAGAGCACAGGCTCCCTCCGACCCTGTCCAGCAGGAGCTCCTACTCTGCTGACGGCACCCCGCGGGGTGTGTCCTGTTTCTGACTGGCCTGGAGGCAGCCCTCAGCCCGCAGGGGCCTCGGCCTGCCTGTCTGAGAGCCGTGGTGCGGCAGGCGTCTTCTTCCATTCGCTTGTGGCGTCGTGAGGCTCACATGAGTGTGTGTGATGCACCCATGTGCGCTGGGCCCTCGCTGAGGGCTCCCGCCCCTCCCTCCAGCAGGCCGGCGAAGTCCTGCAGCCACTGTCAGGCTGCTGCGGGAGGTGCGGGAGGGCTCGGACCCAGCCCCCCCCCCCCCGGTCTGCTTTCAACTTTCCCCGCTGCCTGGCGAGGGCGAGCCCGCTCGGCTCAGCAGGGAGAGCCCCCCTGCGCTGCCTGGCTCAGACCAAAGCCCCCGCCCCTGCCGAAGGCTTCCTCTGCCCTGACTTGCGGCAGGATGTGGCCAGGCTGACCGCGGCCCTTCCAGGAGATGGGGTCGCCTCTGTCCTTCCTCCCACTCCCTGGGAGGGCGTGGAGCCGAGGTCGGAGGGTCGGGACCCCCGGGCGGCAGCCGGGCCAGCTCGGTGTTCCAGGGGCCCCCCTGTTCTTAGGGTATCTTCTTGTCTGGCTGCAGGGTTTTTTTTTTGCAGGAAAGCAAAAGGGCCGACTGGCGCCCTGCCCTCTGAATGCCGCTTGCGACTCCTCTGCGCCGGCCAGCCCGGTATTGGCCAAGCAGAGACCAGCCCCCCTGTCGTGGACTGAATGCTTGTCCCCCAATTCATATGCTGACATCTGCCCCCAGGGTGATGCGCTGGGCGGTGGGCCTTTGGGAGGTGAGTGGGTCACGAGGTGGGGCCCCCACGAAGGGATCGGTTTCCTGATGAGAACCGGCCGGGAGGCCTGTCCCCCTTTCCCGTCCGTGAGGACACAGGGGGTCGTCACCATCTGCCACCCAGACCAGACCCCGCTGGCACCCACCTCAGACTCCAGCCCCCAGACCTGTGAGAAACGAATGTCTGCTTTTGACAAGCCCGTCAGTCTACGGCGTTTCGTCACAGCAGCCGTGCCGACCACGGCGGCACCTCAGGACTCACCCTGCAGGGCGGGAAGCCCCCTTCTGTAGCT